TAAATATAGTAGGCCAATGACTTTTAGTTGATATTAAAGCACCGATCGTTCCTTTCATCGAAAGGGGGCCCAGCTTGTTTACTATAAGGCATTATATACCGATGGCCTAGCCATCTGGCATTCAAGTAAACAAGCTGGCTTCAGTGCACGACTTATTAATGAGGACCTAGATAGATTTGACAACTACTGCTGCAAGTGGAAACTAAAATCAAATTGTACCAAGACAATCTACGCTGGTCGCAAAGCAAAATCTCACCATTTTACTTGTAGGAACCAAACTCGAAAAAGTTGAAAACCCAACCTACCTCGGGATCGAGCAGGACAGACAGTTTTCATACAAAAATCATATCTGGAACCTGAAGACGAAGGCTAACAAGAGACTTAACCTTCTCAGACGACTGGCTAGCACTTCATGGGGAGCGGACAAGGATGTCCTCAGACAGCTATATGTTGACTATGTACGCTCTGCCATGGAATATAGCCTAATCCTACAGACAATCTGCACCAGATCAACTCAGAGGTCTCTTGACAAAATTCAGAATCAAACTGTACGATTTATTTCAGGAGCTTTGAGATCCTCTCCAAATGCAGCTTGCAAAATTCACATAAACCTGGAATCTTTGGACCTGCGGAGAGAGGCAGCAGTTGTGGAGATCAGTGAGCTCTACAAGACACTAGACAAACACCACCCAAACAGAAAGATCATTGAACAGAGACGACCAAAGAAACGAATCCACGGAAGATCAATACTCGACACAGCCACCGAATTAGTAGAAAAACATCACCGTCTATGTAACAGAGAAACGCTGAAACCCTTAAGACCAGAACTCCCCCAAAACACCAACATCAAGAACGCCAACATCAAGCCTTTCCTCATAAAGGAGACAGTGAAAAAGGACCATGACTCAATAGAACTGAAGACCACAGCTCTCAAAACAATTGACTCCTACACAAGTGATTCAGTCCATATAATTTACATCGATGGGTCAACCTTCAAGGGAACTATTAATGCGGGCTTTGGAGTAAGAATAGAACATCCTGACAAGACGTGACAAGAACTATTTTCATTATATACCCAGACAAAATCAAGGATTACTGTAATCTTCACATACGGAAAATCAGTACTCCAAGTTTTGGAAAACATGAATCTTGAAAGCCCAGCTTGCCTCTTTCTGGCTCAAACAATCAACATCTTCATGAAGACCTGACTTTACCATGGATACCTGACCACAGCAACAACCCAGGAAACGACAGAGCAGACACCCTTGCCAAGAAGAGAGCATCACAAACACAACCACACAACCCAGTATCACAACAGACAGTCAAGAACATCATCAAATGCAACACCAGGGAACAGTGGCTGAATGGATTGCCATTGGGCAAAACTGGAAGAGCTATATTTGCGCACATGACAGCTCCCAACTCAAAAGATGCACTAAATTCTCTCAGTTGAAGAGAACAGGTCGCTATCTTTTGACTGTGAACACAACACATCCCACTGAATTCCTTCTTAAATAGGATCCGCAAGGATTCCCCATCTGACTGCCCGTTGTGTGACTGCCAGGATGAAACAGTATC